AAATGCAGGAATTCATGTGGTAATATTTTCGCTTTATCAACCTTAAAATATACTACCTTAAAGTAAATTTCAGTCCGGAATTCAAATGAATTTATAGCAATGAAGTAACAAAAAAATTATTCAAATGAGCCATGTAACAGTTTAGTTCATTTATCATTTTTTAATACTATAATTCTATTTTATTTCATTTATAATTATAAAAGTTGCTGTCATAAAATAATTGAGAAATCGATAATCTGCTTATATTTTATAGATTTTAATATTAATTTTAAAAAAAATCTACATTTTTGTTTATGATTTTATACATTTCTTGTTTATTATACATTTGCTTCTTTTATCAACAAAATTGATAAATATTTTTTCGAAAAGAATAAAACTATTTTCTAACATCCCAACTAACTAACTGCCATTAGTTAACTAACTGGTCTAGGAATTAATTATGAAAATTAGTTAATTAGAACAAATGAAAAGGAATCTGTTGTTGTTTGTTGTAAAATAAGTTAAGAAATTGGTTGTAAAGTGGATTGGATTGCTTATTATGCTGCCATTTGATATTACCAAATACTTGATTGCTTTAACGATAATGTATGTTAAAGTACTTGTTGTTATCATACCATTCATTCTGTTCACATACCTGTTAATGTATTTTTTCATTTTCAGTGCATTATTATCAGTTAATGAAGCGGATGCACGAGCGATGGTTCTTAATCCTCCTAATTTCATGAACAACATGAGAGGAGGCAACAACATATGTTTTGCAACTCTTATTAGTTCCAAATCTTAAAGTGTTGCATGTTATATTAGTATATTAAACATTAGTGGTCATTTAAGCATCAACATTCCCAGTAAGAGTTTACCTTAAATTTGAGAGAATGATCTCCAATGGCAACACACTACAGATGGTTTTTGATCGTGAAATTGATCAGAGTAAAAGTTAACCTGCCCAACTTTCTCAAATTTCTCCTAGCCCAGATTTATTTGGGACTATTTTAACGGGTTTATTACTAGGATCAGTGTATGGTAGAGGGTTCCCATATTCTTCTCCATATGGTTATTATTACCCATATTTCGGCTACCTTCCCTATTACTGCTATTACTATGGATAATTGTTTCATGTCCTCCAAATGCCTTTGTATTATTGCGCAGACATTAAATTTTAAAAATCACGCAAAACTTTGGCGTTCTGTTCCATATGAGCTATTAAATAGTTGGTGATTTGAATCAATGTTAAAAACATATCAAAAGTCTCTGCGGCACAAGTTATCGTCGTCAGAGTCATCTACGGTTCTGTCACTGTTTATAGTACCTATACTGATCAATAACTCATGGCTAATTTCAGCATCATTCACTCTTTGAATTATTGAAATGTTGTGATAAATAAGGAGTTAAAAAGCAACAGTTCATCTAAGAATAATAATTCCAAATTTGCATTTCTAGAATTCCTTAAAACATCGTACCAAAAAGACTATACTGGTCAATAACTCATGGCTAATTTCAACATCCGTCACTGCTTATAGTACCTATACTTTTCAACATCCGTCACTGTTTATATACTTACACTAATCGATAACTCATGGATTGAAACGAGAAGCCGGAAATAAATGAATATAGTAGTAAATGGCTAATTTCGATATCAATCAGTATTTGAATTATTGAAATATTGTGATAACTAAGGAGTTGAAAAGCAACGGTTTCTCCGAAGTATAAGAATTCTAAATTTTCCATCTCTAGAATTCTTTGAAGCTTCGTACCAAAAAGATTATACGCGTAGGACAGTGCGTGTTAAATGCTAAGAACAAATAAATCAAATAAATTCCTTTATTTGGTAATACCGCCAAATGTCGGTACTGATTAACATGATTTGCTGGTATTCATCACTGCAAAATGTTGTTTTCCTTCAATTAAAATTGATTAAATAAGAATGAACTGAATGTAAACGT